TGAAATATATTCCGCATAAAAAGAAATGGCAAGTCCTAAAATATCCCAATATGATTTCTAAACATTTTTCCCTTATAATGAAATTGTATTCATTTATTCGTGTTTGTTGCCATAGTTTCAAATTTGATTGTGAAACAACTTTACGATTATTTACGGAGGAAAAAAAAACATCGATTTTTTATTATTGTTATTATTATGTATATGAATGTATATCTGCATATGAATAAAACAATTCATCTTTTCTCATATTTCCACTAAAGCTGTATTTTTTTTATTATTTATTTATGCATAAATTTATTATAAAACTAGTTTTGTTTTGTCTTTTAACTTCCAATTTTGAATTTTCTTAAGAAATTGACTTTATAGTTAACGTTAGAGTTTTTAAATTTTTTTTGTGATAAACTATGTTTTAATTTGAATACAGAATGCTTTATAAGTACACATGAAGTTTGAATACATTTTGTAAAATAAGAGTATTTTGGAGAACGGCCGAATATTATTGCTTGGAAATGATTGTCTTTCTTACCTCTCTTGATTACTGCTTTTAGTTCGAGAAAATATATGAAAAAGCATATCTCTAAAATAGTCAAAACACATTACTCTCAAAGTTCGAACTTTAAAGAAGAATCGATAGCTGCATTTGATAGAAAATTGGAATGATATCTAGTAGTTTGAAATATTATTTGAACCATTGCGAAAAATATTAATAATTAATTACATTTATATTGCTAAAACTCTTATTATAAATGATTTGTATTTAATTATTTAGATATTTATTATTAAATCATCTATGCATAATAATAAACGCGGCTGTGTGTCTGTCTGTCTGTAATCACAATATATCGCCCCAGAAGCCTCGCCCAGGCACGAAACTCGGCACATAATTGTGTTTTGACATAATGAAGAAGTATTTTTTTTCTTTTTCAAAAATTTGAATCAGTTTTTCAGTTATCAGTTATTTTGTACGAAAATCTATGCTTTTTCGTCTTCAAAGAGCCATATTCAAAAAACTATTAAAAAATGCATATACTTTTCTCTACTCTTATAAATGTATGCTAATGCGAACCTTACAATTGAAATATTAATTTTCGACAACTTAAACCAATAATATACGAAAAGGAATTGATAATTTAATTGTAAGGTTCGCATTAGTTTACATTTATCAAAGTGGAGAAAAGTGTATTAAAAATGTGGCAACATATTCGATACGTAAATAGAAAGCTTCGCTTTGATATATTTGTCGCTGTTCATCTGGATATGAAGACAAAATTGCAGGACAGGAACACTTTAATTGTCCACTAATCTTCAGATTTCCTGCTATGTTTTAAAAAACTTTATTTGTGAAAACCTTTAGCGTGGCGGAAAGCTGGCCGCCTTAAGCGGCTAGTTAAAAAATAAAAATGTTTTGCTCTGAACTATGAATTTCAGTGATGTAATAATCAATTTTCCGTTGGTTTGTTGGTGTATTCCTAGTCGTCTGTTAATCAATAAATGTTTTGCTTGCAAAGTAAAAATCATAGTTTAAAAATGAGAAATTATTTTTTCATTCGTATTAGATGAATGATCGCATTAGATGATGATGAATGCTCACACTTTAACTGAGAAATATCTTGTATTAACTTATTAACTCCTTTAATCTCATAAAAAATAAAGTTCTTTCACTATAGAAAAAAAATCTATAGAAATAAATATATTTACATTTGCAAAGCTCATTTTATCACTATCAGAGGTGACATGATATTCAATCTGTCCTTTCGTAAAGAATGTCGACCCCTGATTCTTTCTATCGCGCTGCCTCTGCTGAACTATACTTATTTTCTGTAAGCCACTTTAAAATCTCAACAAAACAGAAACAGAAAGAAGAAACAGAAAAATTGTTCTACATATTGCAATCGATGTTTGAAATTATTAGCAATAATAATAAATAAATCACGGATATTTTAGTAGGTTTATGTTGGCGGAAGAGCTCTTCATGTAATACAAGTGCTGGTTAATTTCACTCACGAAGGCTAAATTGTGACAATGCTAATCCAAGAGTCCCCTTGAATCCTGGGTTGGGTTCAACATTACAAAACTATGGAGTTTTTGCCGATTTTTATATATATATATATATATATACTATAATGAACCTGTGTAAATAACCGTATGTTTAATCCGTGGTACAACTGGCACAGTAACGTCTTTGATTTTCTTACAATATATCAGAAATTTTGCGCCCTGCGTATAAATATGTATGTCTTAAACTTCAGTTTGTGTCACTTAATCAACTTAAAGCCATTAAAGGCCTGTTTACACGGTTCAAGTTCTAGGACGAAGATTAATTGATAGTGATGGAAACTTGTTTTGCTTTGAGCTTGGATTGTGTAAACGATCATCCAAATACTTGGTCCAAGTTCTTGGACGATAGTAGAGCATGTTCTACTTTCCATACTAGTTTTTCCTCCCTTAACCAATCAGCGTCTTAGGTTTTGTGACGTCAACAAGCAGGCATCAGATTATGTCATTTTGTTGTCTGTTTTCTTATATTTGAGTCCAAATAAATTGATCTGTTACTGTTTATATGTGTTATTATGATTTTATTTTAATTTATTTAGTAATTTTAAACTTATGTAAGAATTATTTTATAATGTTGACTTTCGACCAATCTGTGACATTCAAGAACTTGGTGGATAGTGTCGACGAATCATCCAATTTCTTGGACAGAGAAAATTCTCCAACTTCTCGGATTAAAGAAATTGGACCGTGTTAACAGGCCTTAACTCAATAAATAACTCCGTCATGTGCAACGGAATCTATACGAGGGTTGCTATTTATATTTCTGGCCTTGGCAACAGTAAGTGTTGCTAGGCGACCGCAGACGATTTTAATCGAAAGTTTGATATTTTTAAACATAAATTCAGCAGACGATTTACCATTATAGCTTCATTTGTGTTGTTGACAGTAAATTGAAAAGTTCTTCTCTTTCAAAAAATGGAATTGAATCGTGAACATTTTCGTGCCATTATTTTTCATAACTTTCGACGTGGATTGTCAAGACAAGAGTGCTTCGATGAACTTAATTCTTTATTCAGCGATAAAGCGCCATCCTACAGCACTGTAAAAAATTGGTATAACGAATTTAATCGTGGTCGATGTTCGATCCAGGACGAATCCCGTGCAGGTCGTCCAAAATCCGTTGTTGTGCCAGAAAAGATCGATGCTGTGCGTGAACTGATAAAGCAAGATCGTCATGTGACATACCGTGAGATAGAGGCGTCTTTGGACATTAGTATGACTAGCATCAATAAAATATTGCATGAACATTTGAGCGTAAAAAAAATTTGTTCGCGTTGGATCCCGCATAATCTGACAAACGCTCAAAAAAAGGCTCGTGTCGATTGGTGCAAGGAAATGTTGGAAAAATACGTTCAAGGTACATCAAAGGCTGTGTATAACATCTACACAGGTGACGAATCATGGATCTATGCATATGAGCCGGAAACAAAACAGCAATCAACTGTATGGGTCTTCCAAGACGAGGCAAAACCAACAAAAGTTGTTCGAGGAAGAAGCACATCGAAACAAATGATTGCCTGTTTCTTCGGCATTAACGGTCATGTGGCAACAGTGGCGTTAGAGCAACGCAGGACGGTCAATTCTGAATGGTACACGACCATTTGTTTGCCAGAAGTCATCGGAGAAATTCGAAAAAAGCAGAAGAACAGGCGAATCATTCTTCATCATGACAATGCGAGCTCTCACACATCGACTCAAACAAAGGCATTTCTGACGGAGCGAAAGATCGAACTGATGGGTCATCCGCCGTACAGCCCTGATTTGGCACCCAATGACTTCTTCTTATTCCCACACATCAAAAATAAATTACGTGGACAACGATTTTCGACCCCCGAAGAAGCGGTTGATGCATTCAAAACGCATGCTTTGGAGTTACCTTAATCGGACTGGAAAAAGTGCTGTGAAAATTGGTTCAAGCGCATGCAAAAGTGTATTGATCATCATGGAGAATATTTTGAAAAACAATAAAACCAATTTCGATCCTACATATTTGTTTTTTCATTATTAGGCCAGAAATATAAATAGCAACCCTCGTAGCACTGATGTAAATATACTTACTGTTAATTTTTCGGGTAAACCGAATAAAAATGAAGTTATTAATGTATCAAAACGCGTTTGTGATGAAACACTATTTTACAGTGTTGTGTATTCTTATTTTTCAGTACAATGGAGCAAAAAAGATATTACCCTAAATATCTTTTTTTCCAATGACGAGATTTTTACATAATCAACACAAATCTTAATGATTAAAAGCGGAAAAGAAAAAAAAATGTGTTCCGTATAAGGATTCGCCGATAATTTAAACATTTTGGAAATATTATGACACTTTTAATATTTTTAAAATTAACTACAGCGTCACTTTGTTCAAATTTAAATAAACCATCATATGTAATAACAAAATACATTAATACAATTAAATAAGTTTCTGGTAGAATAAAGTTCTTACTTGTTTTCCAATTGATCTTGCTTTTTCTTCTTACAATTTTTATTTTAAACGCTAAGATATTTTTTTGTTATTTTTTTAGCTATTTTGAAGTATTTGTTTTGTTTTTCTGTCTCAATTTGCAACTGTATATTTTTTTTCCTTATAATTTATTTCAATTTTTTGAAAGTTTTTCCTTTTTATATATATATATTTTTTTTTTTTTAGTGTGCATCTATTTTTATTGAATCCCTATTTTTCTGATATTAGAAATTAAATAAATATAGAAAAAAAATGGAAACTTTTTCACATAAATCTTTTTAAAAATTTACCTGTAAATTTAAAGACTATTTTGCAATTGTTTAAAATTATATTTCGCTGTCATTTATTGCTTTTATAAATAAATAATGATAATTTTTTTAAATGCCAAACTGCTCTCAAAATTTTAATATGTGCGTTAAAATTCAAAAATTTATAAAAAAAAGAAAATTGCATTTTGTTTCTAATTTGTGAATGTTTGCAGTGAAAGAAAAGATCGAAGCTTTGAATGAGCAACTAGAAAGGGAACCAGCTGCAACAACTGAAAGAACTGATACCTTTGATGGAACAGAGCCTCCATCAGGAAAAAGCAAAACAAAAAGAGAGTCTATTACTGGTGAGCTTTCATTCTTTGTTATTCAAACTTGTTTGGTATAAATTAACTCAACTCGAAAAAAAATAACAAAAAATTTTCCTATTGTACTTTTTTTAATGTATAAATACTTTTAAAAATAATACTGAACCACAAAATATTCTTTAAGAGAAAGAAAGCTTACTACTTTAAAAAATATATATATTTATTAGGTGTGCAAAAAAAAAATAATAATAAAAGAAAAACTCGAGTTGAAAGAAATAAGCTTCAAAATTTTGTGTCTTTCTATTTCGTTAGTTATCCTTTATTTATTATGCCAATCTTTGTTCTACATAGATTATTAAAAAATTTTTTACCTACAATTTAAACTGTGTAGTGTCCATGAAATTTACAATATGAACTGTGACTGTGAAGATAACAAAATAATATTTTGCTGATATTATTCTAGCAAGCCAACTTTCACAAAAAATCAAAAGCACCTATAAATTGAAAGCTTCTACTAGTCGAATTGTCTCTCAATTCAAAGCTCCTTCATTAACATGCAGACTTTCCAAAGAATACATTGGACATCGAGATGGAGTGTGGGAAGTCAGTTATTCTAGATGCGGACCTCCACAAATTGCAACAGCTTCAGCAGGTATGTCCTCAAACTAATTTCTACTCAAAGCTTTTTTTTTTAACCAAATCTATAGATTGAATCTTGCGAAAGAAAAAGATAACAAAAATGGATGTGTTTATACTGACTCTAATTACAACAGAATAAACCGATTTTTTTCTCTCGTTGGTTGTTAATCATTTTTTTCGGCCATCCCCCCAGATTTTTGACGCGCCCGATTCTACGTCGTTTTTTGACCGTTTATTGGTAGTTACTTATCTTTTTTAGGCCATAGATTTTTAAAATTTCAGTATACTTAATGCGCCACACAATTTACGTATTAAAATCATCACTTTTTGACGCGACGATTCCATCGAATAACTTGGACCATGACTAAAGAATCGATTCCTAAGTCATTTTCCGATCGTTTTCCCAGCCATTTTCAAGTGATTTTTCGAATTCAAATATTTTTTTTAATTCGATCTTATTTTGACCCGCGTATTTTGAATATGAGTAATCGCTTTTTGGCGCGTCCGATTTTACGATGTTATTTCGGATTTGAGTATAATCACTTTTAAACGAACTCGATTCATGAGGATTTCGTCGTATATCATCATCGTTTACCGATCTTTCTTCAGGAGCTTTTTTCATTTTTTTCAGGCATTTTTATGCAGTTTTTTAAATTTAGATATTTTTTGTACTATGTTATTAATCACATAAATTTTCAACTTAAGTAATCACACTTTTCCGTGTCGTTTCCAGCTTTTTCCGATCATTTTTGGCAGTTATTTATCGTGTTATCGGCCATTTCCTTCTAGTTTTTATAATGCTGATGTTTCAATCTTAATATTTGGTTTTTGATATAGTTTTATATTTCATATTTAAATTTTCCCCAACAATTGTCTTTTTATGTCTTTAATTGCTTTATGGCATCTGTAGGAGATACTGAAATTAAAAAAAATTGGTAAAAAGAATTTTATTACTAACCAAAATCGAATTTCTCTTTGCAATTTATGAAAATAATATTACAAAATGTAGTCATTTGAATAGATACCCCCTACTTTTATATAATGCCTCATGCAGGTGTCTGGCGGTGGGCATATTTCTCATGAAAAATTAATGAGATTAGCTATTTCGAATGTTGGAGAAGAAAATTACAACTTTCGTACCATAAGTTATTCTGAGTGTGAGATTGAAAACATTTTCTATGTAAAATAAAGAACCATGAAATGTTCAAGCAAATGTATGTCATAACTTTCCATAGTAGCTGAATTCTGAAGAAGAAAATAAAATTATTGTATTTGTACTTTTGATTATTTCAATTTTAAATAGCTATATATATTGAATATTGCATTTATAAAAAGTGTAAAGAATAAAAGAGAAGAATAATTTTAATTGAGAAAGGCTGATATTAGATCAAAAGTTGTTTGATGAAAGGACAACTGATTGACTATAGAAAATGCAAATTTTATCCTAAAAATTACGTTAAAGAAGAGAGAGAAAAGTAATTAACAAAAGAGGTGATTATTTTTAACTAAAGTTACTAATCAAATGATAACATTATAGTGAATATGCTGTTGTCTTAACATTAACCAAATAGGAAATAATATAAAGGGACAGTGTTTTTCCTTGCTCAATGAAAAAATTTGTTTTTCTTTCAGATCACACTGCTAGAATATGGGACATTCACAATGGAAAATGTATTGTGCAATATTGGGGGCACAAAGGATCTGTAAATTCTGTCAGATTTCACCCTAACCAAGATTTGGTGGTTTCTGCCTCGGGGGATCAAACTGCTCATGTTTGGTCAGTTTCTTCATCTTCTGGAAACACTGATATGGTTTGTGGTCATTTACTTTCTCATAAGATCTTGATTTCCAAAGAGTTTGTTGAAGTTTTTGTCAAAAATTCTTAATACATGTACAATTACAAAAGGAAGATTTTTAACAAGTATCATAAAAATGCCTTCTTTGAATATGGTTATAGATTAACAATCTTTATTAAATTAATAAATTCGTGAAGAGTTCCTCCCTATGAAATGCATTGTAGGTCATTTATTTTAGAATTGATTGATTGAATTTAAATTATTCTTTTTAATGGCTACTTTTTTATTAGTACACACTCTTAAAATTTTTTTACAATTTAACTGTAAATTTTGTTTCAGTCCCTAAACTTTAATATTCATTCTATAAGTTTTTGAATATTCGTAATCTCTACTTAGAAACGATTTAAATATTAGATTAACATACTTTGAGTAAATTTATACCCCCTCTCTCTATGGTTTTCAAATAGTAGACAAATTCTCGTATGTTTAATGTAAGATTTTTAATTTAATTATATTTACATTTATTGAGGATGTTTGTCAACATAAAAAGGACAAATTGAAGCCTTTGCAAATCAGAATAGCAAAATAATTTAGTTAAAATCCCACTTTCGGTGCCTTGTAATATTTAGCCAGCGCCTTAGTAAAAATATATATTTTTCTCCATATCTAAAATGTGAATTTATTTTTAGAAAAATGTTTGTTATACATTGTTATTTTACAATGTATTGAACCCTTTTTATATAAAAAAAAAACTCTTTGAACTGATTGTACGCATTAATTTTCTGTGCCCCTTTGAGTTGACGTTAAGGAGGTTCAACTGTATTTTCAACTAGCTTTCTTTGATGATCATCCAAGAATTGTAATTTTTTTATTTATTAAAATGCATAGTTAGGAATTGGTAAATATAGTTAAATTTAAACTTATCAAGTTTTGAGGCATTCAATTCAAATTTTAATTTTATTTTTCATGTAGTTTGTAACTTTCATTACACATTTTAATTGAAAAATTTTAGTAGCTGAAAAAAGTTTAAAAAAAATTGAATTTTTCCAGTATCTTCAAAGTATTATACCATCATGAAATATTATACCATCATATTGCACAAAATAATAATAAGTTTAATAATTTGTAAAGAATTCAAACTGGTTCTGCTATTTTTAGAATATAACATAAATATATGTGCTAGAAACCCCTTTTTGTGCAAATGTATATTTTTCTGAGTTCATTAAATATAATAAATTTTTCATATTGTCACTTAACCTAAATGTCATTGTCATGTTATCATATTGATTTGTATATCATATCAACCACATTTCATAAATTTCCTAATGTTTAATCATGAAATTTCATTATTTCTGTTTAAATAGAAATACCATTCATCAGAAGAGGAAGTTGAATTATCAGAAGAAGACCACGCTGATGGTATCTATTCTTTACTTATTCATTTAAAAAAAAATATTCTAGGATTTTTAATGTTTCATAGTGAAATTATGCTTTGTAGTTATGTTTTTATTAAAATGAAAAAAATAAGTTTAATTCTTTTTTAACGAAGAGTAAGTTATTTATGTTTTGACATTTTTTAAACGTTAATTTACTAGAGGATAATATTGTTATATTTTTAGAGTGAGTGAGTAGTAGTGTTAAATAAGGTTGATTTATTTTAAATCAACATTTTAGTGTTTAAAATATTAAATGAGTCATACTATCTTATTTAGTAAAAATTATGACCAGTTATTAAGGAATTTCTGGTACTGACTTTTGCTGACTATGAAGTTTAAAGAAACCTATTAAACTAAACAGCCTAAATTAGTTCATAGTAAATTTTACTGCTATTAAAATTTTATAATTAAAAACCTTTTAAAAAAACTTAATTTTTCCTTTCAAAAATTTATTATAAGACGTTTTTTTTATTTTAAATACAAGTTAAACAAAATTTTTAAATCAATAAATGTTTGTTCTGTTTAGTTGTAGGAAATGCAATTGTATAATTTTTTACTGTGGCATTTAATCAAATATGTTTTAGTGAGGGAAAAGTTTATGCCTCACAATCTAAGATATAAGTTATGCTATCAATTAATGTAACAAATTTATATATTCTGAGGCATTTCTTTTTGAATAATTTTACTGCAAAAGTTAATAATCAAAATAATTGTTTTTATAAAATAAAATAAAATTTAATCACTTTCATTAGATTATTCAATATAATATATCAAAATAGCGTCAAAAATTACTAATATTTGTTTTATTTGAATGCCGAATTTAAGTGCTTAATTTTCTGCTTAATTTTCGAATTTATGTGCTTCTGGTGCTTGATTTTGCTAAAGTTCACGGTCTCATTGGTAAAGTTCACGGATTTGATCTAGCTGTCGCTAGATCCTGAAGGATTGGACACAACACAACAAGTGCTTAATAATACGTATAAAATGGTATGCATTATGAAATTAAATTTTTTGATTTTCAAGAGACACCTCCTTTCAAAATTTTCATAATTACATCTTATTGTTGCAAACATTTGTAGAATCAATTATGTATAACTCTTCTTGGCATCTAAAAATTTCTGAATTTACATGAAAACTAAACAAAGATTAAAAATAATAATTAAATTACATTAGTTCTGATGCTAAAAGTATATTGTTTTAGAAATTGCAATAATAAAATTAGAACTGCAATAGCGCAGTGATTAAGACACTGAACTGCCATTGTGATGAACTGGGGTTCGATCCCCAGTGTCGGCTTGAAGCCGACCCAACTTCAGATCGCCGAGTACCGGCTTGTCTGGGAAGTAAATGCGCAATGGTGTCTGTGTGCAGTGATGACCACGTAGCCTCAATGATGTTATTGGTCACGAAATTGTGGAGCCTTAACCTCCACAAACTTCCTGACCCACAACATTCTGTTACGTGAATGCTTTACCTTATTAATTTAAATTTATAATTGTGATGTAAGCTAATTTGACTTTAAAATGTGTAGAAACATGTAGCTAATTTAAAAATATTGCCAAAATATATTTTTGTAAATTTATTTATTAATTTTAAAACATGGAATAGTAATTTAAAAATTAAATGGCTTACAACATGTTCTTCCACTTAGGTGTAAGATAATGAAATACAATCCCTAAGTAAAATGGCAATAAGGAAATCAGTAATCTATAATTATTTTAAAGCAATTAATAGGTTGTAGTTTTCTGACAAAAAGTATTCTGATAAATTAAATGTGTTAAGTAATACTGTTAGCTAAGGTTTACTAATTGGTATTCCCTTGGCATTTATTTTTTTTAAATTTAAATTATTTTACCATGAACTTCTAATTTTCTACAAACTTTTCATAGATGTCGAATCATCACATAATATGACAGTCTTAAAGAATTCAAAAATTGAACTACAAGGTCATATAGGAGTCGTAATAGCTGCTGATTGGTTAGCTGGTGGTGATCAAGTCATAACAGCTTCTTGGGATCGTACAGCAAATGTATATGATGTTCAAACTGGGGAACTTGTCACACAATTAGTTGGTAAATCACTTTTTTCCCTTTCTATTTTATTCTATTTTTTTAATCTGAAAATGAATTTTCAATAACAATTTTTATGTCCATTAATTAATTTTTCTCTCCCTTTTACAAGGAAGGAATTATTTCTTTTTTTAAAAAAGAAATAATTCATAGCAAAGAGATTTTTAATGTTGTTTTGTTAATAGTGTAAAAAAATAGTTATGTATTAAATATTTATTTAGATTCATTTTGTTAGATTGTCTTTAGTAATAATTTAGGTAGTGTTGAATAGTTAGTTATACCTTTACAAGTATTTATTTGTAATATTTTCTGATTTATTATATAAATCTTATAATGAACATGACCACAATCCAAAATTAAAAAATAAAGAAAAGAAAGTCTCATCAAGAGAATCATTCTTGTTCTCTCATCAAGAATTTCTGTGAAGATATCAATTCATCAGTTGGAAAAGACAGGGCGAAGCCCCCAGACTGATCACCAATAATTCGATGTTAAAGTAAAAAGAATTGTTCCCAAAGGACTGTTAGGATCATGGAAAGAGATCCATTGTTGACGATTTAGCGAAAGATAACATGGCCAAAAATAAAGCCAACCCCCTGTAATCAATATTAAATCTGAACTGTATATTTAAATACAGCTGTGCTGTGCCTTTGGCTTGTTTACTGTTAAAGTTGATGTGTTGTACTAGATAATTTTAAGAGGCGACCAAACCGGTCGCCAAAGACGGCTAATTTTTTCTAAAACTGAGTCAACTAGCATAACTGGATTACTGCATTTATATCTGAATTCAGAAACGTTAACTTAGGAATATGTTAAAAAATATTTGTCATCTTTCTGTTGATTTATAAATTATACTTCAATAGTATGTCTACTTTTTCTTAAACTAAATACGTAAAAAATATCAAAGAATTTCTTTAAAATAAAGTTTTTATTTTTTTTATTTAAATTCTTTCATCTTTATGACTTCACATTTTTAATTCTATTTTTATCATATTAAAATTTTCTTACTATTTTATTTAATAGGTCATGATCAAGAGCTCACCAACACTTGTACACATCCAACCCAACGACTTGTTGTGACATCCTCAAAAGATACTACATTCCGTCTGTGGGATTTTCGAGATGCGATTCATTCTGTCAGTGTATTTCAAGGACATACCAAGTAATCACTCTAGCTTCTATAATTTAAGTCTTCTTAAAGCTTTGAGAAAAATATTTATCTTCTGTTTCTGGTAAGGATGTGTCGAATAGAATTTGGCCGATAAGCAACATTTAAAAAAAATTAATTAATAATTATTATTTTTTATATAGAAATAAGTTTAAAAAACTGAAATATGAATGTTTAAGAGAAATTAGTTATTAAGATAATTATAGATAAAGGAAAACTGATTAACAGCTAGTTTAAAAAAATAAAAACTGAAGTTATAAAGTTGGAAGAAAAAAAAGAAATAGAACAAAATATCCTCTTAATTATTAGAACAAAACTTTAATGCTAAAAATAAATATTTTCCAAAAAAAAAAATATTCATAAGACATTAAAAGAAATAATGCCTATCAGAAACGCTGACAAATATTATATACAAAAGCAAAACAGAAAAAATAAAAATAGATTTAAATTCTTGAAAGAAAAATTTTAAAGATAAACATTTCAGTTTTCTAATTACTGTATTTTCATGAAAAAAGTGAAGACTAATAGAAACTCTTTTAATTGACGTGTCATAATAAAAACGTCGATAAAGTTTTTTGAATAAAAAAAAGCTAAACAGAAACCAAAATGAAAATCGTTCGTAATTTTTAGGAAAAAGTGACCATAAAAGAATAATGTTCATTAAAAATGCTCTTTAAGATTGCTGTGATAATAAAAATGCTGATAAAAAGAAAAGTTAGTTAAAAATTCAAAAGAGAAACAGGAAAAAATATTGTTCTTGGTTCTGAAATGCAACTTTAACGTTTAGAATTATAGTATTCTATGTTATCTGTCTTACCCTTCAAAAAAAGTGACAATAAAAGAATAAAGTCTATTAGGAACACTCTGTTAACATGCTTTGCATTAGTTAAAACAGAAACACAAGCAAAAATGAAACACAAAAAATTTCTCACTTTTTAAAATATAAAATGATGAATTGACTTGCCTGAATATAATTTAAAAAAGCGAAAATCAGCATTACCAAACTGATGGTTTAGGGATGTAGTCTGGTTTCAATTCTTCAAATTTCACTTTTCCATGTGTCTTTTTGAATATAAATTAACAAGTTTTAGAACTTAACAAATCTGCGTAGAAACTATTTCTAATAATGTATAGTAAAAAGTATGCTTTTTGATTATTCTTTATCAAATTCTATTAAAATTTCCCCCCAAAAAAAACTTTGTCGAAAAATAATTTTCCGAATATTTGGCAAAAGGGCCCAATACCGAATAGTGGTCAAATATTCGTTATATCCCTAGTTTTCAACAATATTATGGACCCCTATATATGTTTAAATTTCTCTAAATGCTAGTCATTTTTTACTATTTTTATTTAAGCCATACATGTGCGTGTCCAAAAAAATTTACAGCAATTTCAAAAATTGATTTAACAAAAATGTGTCATGATCAAAACGTATAGTTTGCAGTATTCTGCTTAAGGAACAAAATTAATTCTTACCCACTTTTAAAATTAGTTACAAAGTTTATCAACAGATGATGCAGCTAACAGAAAAACTATATCTTTATAAAGGTCAATGTGTGGTTTCAATCATCAAAGTATTGTGTCATCAATCTTGTTCCTAATAAGGATGTACACCTTTTTCTAGGAGGACTTATAAAATTTTAGTTTCCACCATAACCCCCTCCTGGAAGCAAATCTTACTCCTCAATCACGTTACTGAGAATCTGCTTATGGTGATGAGTTAAGTTGTCATTTCAGTATAGTTAGAAACTTGACAATGATCGAGACACAAAATATTTGTTGTTGGTGTTATAGCGAAGATGTTGTATAGTATTCCCTGTTTAGGAATGAGAGAGATATGTGTTAGTTGTCTAGTCACCATTATAAGGCATGCGGGACAGACATCTTCTAGCACGACATTCTCTAGCATATTTCTGTAACTTGTTTTTTAAAGAAAAATATTTTAGACAGTTTGGGAACCACTTTTAGGCCACAGGTTATAATTACAGGGATGAGATTCTTCCGCGGATTTCCGCGTTTTTTTTAGATTTTTCCATTTTTCCCGCTAATTTCCGCGGAAATTTTTTTGAACAAGTTAAAATATTTTATGAGGATTTTAATTTTCCGCGGAGCGAAAGCATTGAAGTCCACATTCCTCCCTCTGAAGTTTCTCAAAAAATCATTTCCTTGGGATAAAACTGGTTGACCTTACACAGAGATGATACAGAGATGAGATTTTTTCGCTTTTGCCTTTCGAATTTCAGCCTTTTTATCAAAAACTCGGATTCTCTAAAAGTTTCGTTTTTTTTTTAAATAAATATCCCGCTTTTTTTTTTTTTTTTTTTTTTTTTTTTTTTTTTTTTTTTTTTTTTTTTTTTTTTTTTTT